ATAAAAATGCTTGTAAAAAAAAATCAACTGGTTAAAAAAAAAAAAAAAAAAAAATCAACTGGTAAATATTTTTTCAGAATAAGATTTTTTTTTAACCTCTGAATATTTTCTGTTGTTCAGATTTATTTTTTAAAATGACATTTTTGTGATTACATTTAACGACTTTATTTTAAGACTTCTTAGCACCTTTACCTGGGGTGCCGATAAGTGTGGTGTTAAAATGCAGTCAATTTTATGTTGCAATTTAGATGCAAAGGAGCAAAAACATGACTCAAAGTTATAAAAGCGTCCCAGAAATACATTTTCAAAATGTCAAAACCTCCCATCTAGAAAAACAAAAAACACAGCAGCCTTTCTCCTGCGAGCTCCCACTAATTCAGATACAAATGAAGCGAGTTCTCGTGTGCAAAACACACCAGCAGGCCCTCCCCCAGATGTATTATTTATGCAAGCAGTGGTGAAGCTTACATTCGCAGAGAAGCTCTGGAACAAGCTTCACCGTTTCCAATCTCTCAAAGTGATCGAGAGAATTTATGATGCAGGGAAACGTTCCAGAGCGAGCCAGTGGCGATTTCCCCCCCTCTAGGCCAACTTGGCCCGTTTCATCCCCAAAGACAGCCACACGGTCAACGCAGTACACATGTGTTCACATCACTAAAACGCTCATCTCATAGGGAAACACCATCCCACTCATACACTAATACTCGACGAGACTCCACCCTGTGACAGAGCAGCTGGTCGCAAATCATCCAAACGCTTAGCGAACGGAAAGTCTTTCCCTTCTAACACGCAGTGAAGACACACAGTTGAAGCCGCTTCGCAGCCCCCGAGTTTGCATTCGTCTCGAGGAAAACGGCCACCTCCGGCTTTCTGTAGCGACAATAAAGCTTTTGGCCTTGTGTCCGTGTTTGTTTGTGCATATTTAAGTCTGCGTGCTTGAACCGCCAACAGCAGCGATGAAGCGGGATCTAATGGCTAAAGAGGAAGAAAAAAGACAAAACAAAACTGTTTGGCAGTAAAGAACATCAAAGTCATCATCAAGCCCAAACAAGAATAAACAGTACGGCAGTAAAACCACATACATGGACGCGAGCATTTCCCCCTGCGCTCCTCATCAGGGATTCCTGTGTGATGTCAGCGAGTCCAGCCAAAAGTAAAAGAAAGCTTTTACATATAGTAGAGGAAAAAGATGATTTTTTTCCCCCTTCCCTCTTCTTACTGATTCATGTGTTTGTTCTTGCTAAAAGGAACCTTGAGATGTTTCTCAACAGAGCACCAAATTTATGAGCGACATTTACTCCTCCTCTCAGTTCAAAGAAGCCAAGCAAAACAAACAAAACAAAAAAAACCTAAGAGGCAAAGACAGTGAAACGAAGGAGCACAGGGAAAGCTAAAGCTGCAGCAGAAAGGTACAGCAACCTGAGGAAAAGGGAGAACATTAAATGATAAAACACGACCGACCGGCGCACTTAATAATCCGTATGAACAGAATGCCAGGCACAGCTGCGGAGTCAGTCAGATGCTTAAATACGCCGTTAATCATAAACCTGAAAACAGCTCGTAAAGTTTAAAAGGCTGGATTTTTAACACGACTCAGAGACTTTTCAATACCGTTTCAAAACAGGCAGGGTTGACAAGGATCAATGTCAAGAATCTAGTTTCTAAAGGGTTTTTCTTCGGTTTCTAGCAGCCCAAATCTGAAAAAAATAAAATAAAAATGTTCTGAAGAAAAGGACCACAAACGTGATGAGCAGCTGAAGAGACGAAACCCAGAGTTACTGATGAGTGACCACAGAGACAAATCATCTTTAATTTTTCATTAATCTGCAGGAATCCCCTCTATGAATCAGACGTGTTGTCCTTCTTCTACATTTCCCCTGAATAAGCATTTCTGGAAAAGCTTAGCCGCACATTTGGCTGATTAACACCAAGCCTGCTTTGTTCAGACGACCAAATAAAACTTACTTCATTCCATTTTAATCAAACTGAATGGTGTAGAGAATGTTAAGATCTAAATAAACCAACTTTGAAACCAGACAAATTCGACTTCACACGTGAGCATTTTATTTGTAAGTAAATAAATGATAAGGACTTCTGCATATTTAATTTTGTTATACTAGAGGTGATTTGTTGTTGTTATAGGTAGAAACATTGGTTTCTCTTACCTAGGTATGGTATGCAAGAGACCATGCTCTGGCTGCTGATGAAGTCTCTCAGACGTTTGTAGTTGTCTTCTTTGGACATCAGGTAGTCGAGCCGATCAAACGTAGACTTGTCCTTTCGACTCAGTAGCTGTTAATAATGAGGCAAAACCAGAAGGCAAGAAAAGGGAATTGGAGCAAAAAGGATTTTAACAGTTACATTATGTCAATTAAGCTGCCATATTTCACTGGAAGTGGTGTGAAGCCCAGTGGGCGTTCCATAACCACATGAGGTAAATGCACTCACCGCCCACGTTTTTGTGAGCCTGAAGATGGGCGCACTTTGTAACCCTGACACCACCGCCATGACAGCGTGGAGGTTGTTCATGTCACACAGTTTCTGTGAAAGGTTACACGACATGGAGCAGACATTTGGACACGTTCGCACAGAAAGACAGTTGTGCTCTGAATTTTTATTTTATTTTATTTTTCTGTTGCACATTCACAGTCAGTCTGATGCTTAATAAAAATCAATGACGGCAGCATACCTTGGCAGTGCGGATGTACAGACTCAGTACTTCGGCTCGGATCTTCAGCGTTTGAGCGTGGAGGATCTCTCTTACCACCCAGAAACTTGTCTAAGAAAAAAACAACACACACACACACACACACACACACACACCCCAACAGAGATTACTGCACCAAGCAACACACAACAAAAAACCCCTGCCAACAACAAACAAACTGGGGAAACCATCAAAAGTTATAATCTCCGAAGCAGAATCAGGACTTCAGGTATGTAAAAACAGGGATTGTTCTCCATCATTTGATGATCGCTTAATCTCTGAGCCAAAGTTGCAGCAAGCCGTGACAGCTCTGGGCTTGGCGTGGTCGAAAGCAAAGCAGTTCACCACAGGACAGATCGTTAACAGCAACGCCCCATTTAGGCCAATTAGAAACGAGCTCTTGATAAAAAAAATAAAAATAAAACACAGGATCACAATCAGTTGGTAGATACAGTCAAGAACGCATGAAATGCCAATTGATAAAGGAGGAAAAGAGAAAAAAAAAGCAAAACAGCAGGCACATGTGTTTGTTCAGAGCACTTGGCCAGACGGTGAGGGATGTCGGAAATCTGTCTCTTTGGGGAAACTGCTGGCAAGACAAGATTCTGATTGCACATACGCAGTTAAACGGGTCAGTCAATCAATCTTGTTGAAACCCTGGGGATGGATGGAGGGAATGGGAAGAGGAAAAGGACAAGAGAGAGGGAAAAGAGGGGATAGTGGGAAGAGAAATTTAACTTGAGGACTGAGGCCAGCAGCTGTCTGGACATTGTGTTCTGAACAGAGAAACAAAAAAAAAAAAAAAAGCAGTCTGTCTATCTTCGTGTCTTCGTCTGAGATAATCGTACTTTTAACTCCCACACTGTCTAAATTTAAACTTCTACCTTTTAAAATCTGTGTAGAGGGGCAGTATTATGTTATTTTTATTCATAGCACAATCAAATAACTATGTTAACTTCAGTTATTAAAAAAATGCTACATCTAAAATATGACTTAGAAGAAGTGTGACTTCATAAATTAACACTTTGAAACTGCATGTATTGAGCTCAGCAGATGCCCAGTTCCACCAGGCAGCTGCTAATTGCTGCTGGCTAGTCTTAAGGAGCTAAATCTGAGTTTATACTGGCTTTGATTTTCCTGGCAAGGAGTGGTGAGAGCATCTATCCCCTCATTTCTGCTGGCCTATAAATACAGAACCAAACTCAAACAAGTTTAAATTACGAGAACAAAGTCTCAAAAATCGCAGCAATAGTGTTTAAAATGAAGTCAAATGAAGTCTTCAAAAAGTGCTAATTATTTCTCTCCTTTCGCCGTTTTTTTTTTTTTTTTTGCTCGTTTCTTACCATTCGATACCAGGAAGGCTTAATGAATTACAAGTTGGTTGCTCCATTTGATCCGTTTCACTTTTTAACCTCTGTCTGTCATGGATAACGTTGGAGTTGGACACGTTGGCCATGTCTGGACATCTCAGTTAAACAAATCTCACGTCTTTAGTGCTGGATTTATAAACGTATCGAGTTCTTTAGAGGAGAAGCTCCCAGTGTTTCAATAATCCTAAATAAGGTGGAGCAGCCAAAGTAAACGCAGACGTATCGGCTGTAGCTCAACCAGTTTTCTGGGTTAGGGTTACTGGTGAAGATGAAAGTCTTGCATGTAAAAACTGCAACAATTCGAGTCAAATAATCATCCAATCTCTGGCTGGGGAGCATTAAAGGTCTGAGATGTTAAAACCTTGACCATAAATATGAACTCTTTTGGTAAGCCTTGAGGAACAGGTTACAGAGCATTTATCGTAGCGGTTTAAACTTGCTGGCAAATTGTCTCCTTTATTGGCTCCTAAAAGCACCGAGTCAACAAAAAATTAGAATCAAGGGGGGGAAAAAAAACCCAAAAATGGCCGCAGTTAATGTGGAATGGGCTTTCTGGGACTCTCTGCCTTGACAGGCAAAGACCGTCTGTCCAAAAAGCTCATTTTCCTTGGCTCGCAGCGGCCGAATGTGTGCGGCAAACATCTTGAATCACCGTTTGGGATCTGCCATACATAAAGAAATTTCCACAGAAACACATTCTTCTTGAATCATATTTACATGTGAGGTTGGCGAAGTGGGGCTTAGAAAAGACTGGCAAAAACAGAGGAAGTGGATTAAAGGGGATGGCTGCCCCTTGAATCATTCCCCACAGCTTCCCGTTGACGTAACTGGGTAAGGAGAGAGAGACTCCTCAACATGTGCGCAGTCATTTGTTTACTCTGCAAAAATATTTACACCCCAACGTTTTGCAACGCTGGCAGATTCAGACATTTGTGTGTTTGGGTGAAATAGAGAGGAAAATCTAAATGGTGTGGAGTTATATTCAACTCTCAGTGGTTGAAGAAAAAACATTTTTATTACAATAGCAGCTGCAGTAAAGTTTTTTTTTTTTTTTTTTTCTTTTGGTACGTTCCCACCAGCTTTACTTATTTTTGCTCAGATGCCATCTCAAACTCAGTCAGATTATATTAGATACCTCCAGCATCAAATTATTGCATTTTATCAGGATTCAAGTCTTGCTACAGTTTCTCTTTTAGACTCTTTCCATTTTCACATGATGGGCAGAACGGAGCTTTTCAAAGCCGGGATATTAACTACTTCCACTGCTTAGAGCTGAGGGTCTTGTAACCTGTTTTTATGCAGTTTCTGTATGTTGCTTAGTTATTTCCTGTGTGTTAATGTTGGTTTCTTTTGACTTTTTTTAATAGAACTACGTGTGCCGTGTTCTGTCCTGTACAGTGAGACGCTTTATGTTTTTGCACCGACTTGTCTTAGGAGGACAAAGGTTGAAATGTAGCTATTGTGTCAATTCCTGCATATTTACACTGCCATGAATTGCGGTTATGTTGATTAACGTGCACTGTCCTAATCAAATACATTAAATCAAAGTAAAACATATTCGTCTTCTTAGCAATTCACTACTTCATGTTGGTCCATCACATAAAACATATTAAATTGTGACTTTAATGTGACAAAAAGCAAAAATAGTGTCAACGTGTTTGCAAGCCACTATATAAATGCGAGTAGCTGAGGATAAAAAGATGTCTGCCTTCAGACATGCTTCACCTGGGGACCACTCGTGATGCACATAAGAGCACTTCACGTGCGAGGAGAAGACACAGGGAACCCAAAGAGCTGCCATGATAAACACAGCTTCAAAAACAAGCACATCTGGGAGAACCGGGGTGATGACTTGAGAGCAGGAGGATGGAGACGGAGGGCATGATGGAAAGACGAGCTGTCATCCCCTCAAACCTCAATGGCCAAGACTCATAAATCTCCATGACCGCAGGGAGGAAGACTTTCCCCTTCTCTCTCTTTTTTTTTTTTGGGAGGGGGGGGGGGGCCGGGGGGGAAGGGGGGATTTACATTGA